GTGAAATTTGAAAATATTATTGAAAGTGCAGATCCTCAACTTGAGGGCTTTTTTAAATATATGATGAATTTAGTTATTCCTAGAGAACGTTCTGCCCATAGTATAAATGAAGCAAAGAAGTCTGTTGTTGGCCTGCGCTATATGATGGCAGGCTTACGAAACAAATTTGTCAATCAACATAAGTTAGAAGTTGGCTTGTATCTGATGGCTTCGGGTGCAACATGGGATGCAGTCGATACAATGTCGAAACTCGGATATTCCGTGTGTGCTAATACTGTAGAAAATTTTCGAAAAAAAGTTCAGAGTCAATATTCAATAAAAATCGAAGAACATTTTACAAATAATGTACTTTTTATTAATTAAATTTAAATAATTTAAATATTAATATCGTGTTTAAATAAAATTTATTTTTATTTTTATTTTTAATTAGAAAAATCAACTTCACGTTTACAACATAGATGATTATCACGCAATTCATGGAATTAGAAGGCCAGACACCACTTCAACATCTAGTGCAAACCATTTTGCTACATGCGTAGCAAAACCCGTTTTAGAATCTCAATCTGTTTTACTTGTACACAATAACATATCTATCCATAATCCGGCAAACATTGAAGCGCCAAGAATCTGTTGGCATCTTATTAATAATTATACTGGAATATTCGATATTCCATATTTCGAACGACAGTTATATTGGGTTTCACGAAATCGTTTAGTAATTAATGAACTTGATAGAATCGATGCTTTAATGGTGCATAACTATAATGACAATCTAGAACAACGGAAAGAGGAACGATCAATGGAAGGTCTTAAGTTAGTTGGATTTAATGAGCAAGGATTACACTCAGTTGAAGACTATATTAAGGCGATAACACTTATTTTATCTATCAATAATAAAACACGACATTTGGATAATTGCATTGCGCCGCTTGTTGCCGATTGGCCTGGCCAATTGTTCGTTAGAAAAGCTCTGTATATGAAACCACCGCCGCGAAACATTGAACCATTCTTACCAATTTTGGGTCCGCTACACTTATCCTTAAACAGTAGAGAACATGTTTTTTTAGTGCACTATTCCTTTTTCGAAAAATTATTTCACTTTGTTTTTGGTTCCGGTAAAACGCTTGCAAAAAATCCTCGCCCGTGGAGGATTAATCTCATTTTAGAACTTACTCGAAATGGATGGGTAAAAATTCGGGACAAAATTATAGAAAAATTTGGAAAAACGTGTAAGGACCTCGAGTATCGAACTACAATCGATTTACTTGATAACATAGTGCCGGCAACACTTGATATCTATGCAAATTTATTTCGAGCAGGTTTGTTTGACGAATATGTGGAAACGGTTTTCCGCATTTGGACGTTCGCGTTACGGTGGAAACGGAAAAACTACAATAAAGCACCTTTGGCTTTTTTGTCCGACGTGTTTTATTGGAAGGATAACGATCATCCTTTTTTTGACATAATTCGAATGCATTTGCCGTACTTCAACGAATATTATGTAGAGAATACTCACAGTCGAATTAGGGCAAATACATCACCAAATGCAACAGTTGACAATATAATAAAACAAGCCTATGTTATTAGTAAATTGGTCGCTTTTCTTTATTATTAGGCAAAGCAAAGTTTGCTTTAATTTTACATATTTTATTTTCAATTATTTAGTGAACCATAATTCAGCATTTAAAGATAATTATCATAAGACACGGCGATATCCATATACCCTACCCGCACTTGACCTTTTGGATAAGAAAACTAGCCTCTTTCTCTTAGAATACTTTCAAGATTTATTCTATAATCGTGGAAAGAGTGGTCCAAAGTTAAAAAAGAAAAGACAAAAACCGAAAGTTTACCACCTTGCTACTTTAGGAGAAGACGTGGATTTACGACGCTTACCAACTGCTTATAGTTCGTCGTACTTGCCCCAACCAAATATGTGCGATCATTGTAAGCATCCATTCAGCGAAGAAGATGGAATGGTTCTTATTTGTGGCCATGGATACCATTTGACATGTTATAATAGAAAGTGTAATTATTGCGAAGAATTCTATAAAAAAGGGATTTTTAAAAATGTTAATAAGTTTTTGGAACGACTTGAAGGTGAAGATAAACTTACGCCGGAGGATTTTGATGATGATGAAAATACCGAAAAAGAGGAGGAGGAAGAAACTTCAGAGGAAATAGAAGGGATTTCTGACATTTCGTCTATATTAGAGGCAAAAATTGGCCAAATAATTTTTTGGTAAATGTAAACCAATAAATACATAATTTCTTCAATGTCCGTTGTGAACTGGCTGTTGAAATTTTAAACGCCAAAAGCGTGAAAAAGTAACATGATTCCGAGTTATTTGTGTACTTACGTTATTTTATAACAATTTACTAGTAAAAAGGTACGCCTAGTAAATGTTAGCCAGAATGCGGATTACTCGGATCGGTCTCTACACTATATTTATATAACGACAAAAGAAAAAACTGGTGAAATTTCATAGCAAACGGGGCTGTCCTTCGTGTGTTACCTTATGACGTATATTCCTCTAATATGATTTTATTATATAAAATCTTGTGTAACCATACGTGCATATAGGGATTTCGGTCATGCTTCAATTTTGCCGATCAATTTTATGCACAAAAATTAGCCAATCACAGTGAAAGCCTGCTATGGTATATTTCCTGTAAGTTTTTTTTTTTTAAAAAAAAAAAAATGGATGAGCCGATTTTCAAGCTTCCAGAAATAATTGATAATGAGAATGGTTGGGGTCCTTCCCCCGCGATGTTACCAGAGAAGTTCCGAGATATACCATATGCACCTTATAGCAAAGCCGACAAGCTAGGTCGAATCGCCGATTGGTCTGCGCCAGAGCAGAAAGAGAAAGAGACGGCCGGAAGAACAAGAGCAAGTTATCGTTATCGAGGTATCATTTTTAATTAAGGAAGTGAACACCTTTCAAATATTAAGCCTTTTGACAAGAGACGCGTGTCAAATCCAGTTATTAAGCCAGAAAGCTCATAGTAAACTTGTGTATTTTATCCAGATATTAATGGTTCGACCTTTTGTCTGTACGGTAGATCAATATACAGCGTATGGTTATGGTGCGTCTAGTGCCTTTACTTACACACATGCTGAAGACGAAGCTTCCTTTTCTGTCGTGGACAATCGTTCGGCTGCTCAAAAGAAGGCATCATATAGAACCACCGGAGGCACAAAGGTATTTAGTGATAAGGAGAATTTTCTATATAAAATCCATTTTGATAATGTTAATTGTTTCAGAGCCGTCCTGGTACACGTAACCCACAACGTCAACAGAGGAATGGTCAATACCAAAGGCTAGGTATGACTGGTCGAGGGGCTACTGGAAATAAGGCATCTGCTGTCAATGTCAGAAGACGATTTGGCTGGAAAGATTATGATAAGGTATGGAATCATTAATAGCCGAAACATTAGTTAATTATTTAACATTTATATCTTAATACTTTTATAGCCCCAGCGTGCGCGTGATGCGTCGGTTAACGTTGGTCCTGAATGGCAAGTACTTGAAGAAATTGAGTTCAATCGTTTATCAAAATTAAACTTGGATGTGGACGAAGGCGAAGATATGTATGTAAATATAACATTGCTTTATGCTATTTTGTAGGTTACAATCTTAATAATTATATTTTTTCATAGTTCTTCACATGGTTTCTTGTATTATTATGACAAGAGTCATGATCGCGTTAACACGAAAACGGAAAAGCCATTGCTGCCAAATGAGCGCGTTCGATACTTTATTACCACATCAAAAGATCCAATTATCGAACAAGTAGCATTTTGAAAATTCTTAAATTATTTTTTATGATGAGCTTAAACTGATTATTTTGTTTGAAAATTAGCTTGCAAAGGATGACGAAGCTACTGTATTTGCCACTGATGCTATTCTGAGTCTGCTAATGTGCGCTCCAAGGTCTGTATATCCTTGGGATATAGTTATTAATCGTATTGGCAACAAGCTTTACTTCGACAAGCGAGCCAACGGTGTGTAAATTTGAATTTTTTTTTTTTTTTTTTTTTTCCGATGAGATTGCAACATTATGAATTGTTAACAATTTTTTTTTTGTTGATATCATATTTACCCATAGATTATGTCACCGTTAACGAAAATGCTGCAGATCCACCCGTAGAAACTGGAGATAAAGATAATATCAATTCACCAACTGCTCTTTCATTGGAAGCAACCATAATTAATCATTGTTTTACTATGCAAGTAGTTAATGAGGTATTTGTAGTGTAAATACTAATTGTTGTTTTATTAATAGTGAGCATTATACTGATTAAACGATTAAACAGTCAGATAAATATGAATTTGAGAAGTCAAATCCTTTTGCTAGTTCTGACGACTTGGAGTTTATGACACCATGTGCTTATCGTTACCGTCGGTTCGATCTCGGTATTAGCGAAGAGGAAGATGTGCGTCTTATTGTTCGTACACAGTTAGATTCGGCTGTAAAAACGCCTGCGGGTGATTCATTCATCACCATAAAAGCTTTGAATGAATTCGATTCTCGTTCTCAGGGTGCAGGCGGAGCATTAGATTGGCGGCAAAAATTAGATACACAACGTGGAGCTGTTGTTGCTACTGAAATGAAAAATAATAGCTGTAAATTAGCTCGATGGGCAGTTCAGAGCATTTTGGCTGGTGCCGATCAGATGAAATTGGGGTAATTATTTGCAATTAGGTTTCTATAATAACTTTATAAATCAACTGATTTTTATAATTTGATGTAGATACGTTTCGCGCGCTAACCCAAAAGACAATCGTCGTCATGTGATATTAGGCACACAGTATTATAAACCTCGTGATTTTTCTGCACAAATGAACATGTCAGTTTCTAATGGATGGGGTATTGTGCGGACTGTTATAGATCTTTGTATGAAGTTGCCCGAGGGTAGATATGTATTGCTTAAAGATCCGAACAAGGTAAAGTTACTCATAAATCTATTCAAATAGTCCAAAAGGCATTTAACTAACATTCATAGTTAATATGCATTTAGCCTGTAGTTCGTCTGTACTCTGTTCCTCCAAATACATTTGAAAGTGAAGATCCTATTCTTGATGAAGGAGATGAATTAGAGGAGGATGAAGATGATGTAATTGAGACAAGATAGCAGTGATTGTAGATACTCCTTCAAACAATTTTTATTGTGACTTTAATCCTGTTGTTCTGACAGAATGGTTCGGTTTAACCAAAAAAACATCCAATCTATTAAATAAATACTGATTATTTAAAATTAACAATTTTAAATTTTGTTATAAAGTATTTCTAATTGTATGTTTATTATTATTATATAAAGAATTTTCAGTTGGATTATGATTGGATGATGTTGAAAATGGAATTTATATTACGTACGTAAATAACCTGTCGGTGAAATTACCATCAGGTTTATTTTACTAAAGTTTTGTGAAATTATCATTGTATACAATTTTACAGCAATTCCAAATATGCGTGGCTATGTTATTTCGTTTTTAATTTTTGTTACTCTTCTAATTAGATAATTTCGGTGCACAATTAACCTATCGTTATTCCGTAAACATTTTACTGAATATATAGACATGTTCGTATAACAAATAATTTGAAAACTTGGGATGTAATAAATCATAAGCTTTAACAAAATTTAAACTTTTATTTATTCCATATTTAAAAGAAATTTCACATTGATAAATAATTACTATTAAAATTAAAATCACTATAATTTATTATAAAAAATCATTCAGTGTAAATTTTTTGACCCCACAACATAACAAGTCTGAATATTATTAGTTGAGGGCACATTTTTGTATGATATACTTTTGTTGCATACTTTTGAAAAACGGGTGGTATCCAAAATCAAAAATGACTAAATATAAGTCATTAAAATTTTACTCTTGAATACGCACAAATTAAATGTATGGATAAACGATAAATAGAAGTAAAAAAAGTGATATGAATGGATTAAGCATATTTTTAAAATGCAAATGAAAGTGAAAATCCGACAACTAATTGGTGCGTTTGTGATTTTTTTCGAAAATTTCTTTTTTTTTTCTTTTTTTTTATCTTTTTCCTTTTTTTTTTTCCTTTTTTTTTTTTTCTTTTTTTTGGTTAACCTCGGATTTTCATGAAACTAGTTATAGCGGCAATTAATGAAAAGATAAAATTATAATAAAGGACGAAATAAAAGTTGGATTAAAGAAAGGAATGAATGCGCAGTATACTGCTTTTTCTGGAAACCAAAATGCACATGAGTAAAATCAAACCCCGATGCCAAAGTCCGGTCAAAGATGTAGGGTACATTTTGCTGATATGACAGGGTAGACAGAATATTGGGCATTTTGTAAGGATGAATTAGAGCTGTACACAGTCACAATGTCGAACGACTATGTCTCAGTAGCGATCGGAGTATCTTGCACACCCTTCGCAATAACATCCACCAAAACCTCTGCTCTACCAACAGCTTGTAACTTGACAACAGCCCGAGTCTCACCCACTTCTTTCGGTTGAAAACGTACTGGTAATGTAACAGATGCACGAGGCTTTATTTGAACACTTGACAAAGGTATCGATAAATTAGAAGTTGAGCCTGAGGTATTCCCTATCACTTCACATTTGCATTTAATCCGTACGAGCTGATTTGAGGGATTATTTATATTAATCCCAACTGATCTACGTCTCCCAATTCTCGTAGCAGGTATTTGAATTTCAGATTCAGAAACTTCAAAATCCATCAACTTCGATCCACTTTTTTTTGTATCAGCTTTGATTGCGTTAGATACATCAGCCCTTCCTTCACCTTGAATACGAACGCTAACACCACCCAATCCACCAGAACCTTCCGAGCTAATTGAATCCTCTAACATAAAACTTTGATAATAAGTGCCAATGAAAATGGGGCGAAAACTTATATCAACTCTTTCAGTTTGACCGGCTCGAAGCAACCCGCTGGTTTTCATTATCAAAAAGACTTCCTCATTTATTTTTTGGGCGGAATTGGTTGTATCAGAACGACGCAGAAAAGGATTTGTTGCAGTAGTAAGATGCCAAGTAACTGGTTTATTGGTCGGATTATGAATACGAAATACGCTATGGTTTGTTTCGCGAATCACGGTTGTTGGACAACTAACATTGCCGGGAACACCGATGTATATAAAATTCTTGCGTTGTGGAAGTTGCTTTCCAGATTTGGACTCATCAGGTGTGCGTGAACGAGTACCAGGTGAAGGTGACACGATTTGTCTGTAAGTATCAGGAGTATTCGGTCGGCTGCGAATTGAGGTTGTAGAAGGATATTTTCGAATGCCAGGGTACTTATTATTACCTTCCGGGCTACTGGAACGACTAGTGTGTCCACTTAATATGCTCTTTTTTGTAGCAGATGAACTTATAGATTTGACAGTAGATCCTGGAGCCTTGCTTATGCTTACAGAAGATTTCCCTTTGTTACCAGCTGATCGTGATTTATCTTCGATCTTAGTAGTTTTTTTCGTTCTTGCTGCTTTAGCGGCCCTAATAAGATTATCTACTTTCTGTGAGATACTCCTTCGTATGAAGCTTCCATCCTCTGAATTTTTTACATTTTTTGAAGATCGCGCTGCTTCGATTTCACCCTTCGCTTTCTTCTTTACTTGTACAATATCGACTATAACTTCTTTTCTCTCTCCATTTTCACAGAGTACCAATATTCTGGTTCTGCCCATCAAAGGTTTATTATCGTTGTTGGATTCTGATCCTTTAAGGATTCCCATTAGTCTCCTTGAATCTTTGGTCTCGTCACGTCGTGCACCTGCAGCGAAATGCTTATTCATAACCGAAATTTTAACAACGGTCACGCTTTGTGCTTTAACAATGCCATATGCGGGGCTGACATCAAATCGGAACGCAGGCCATAGTATTTCATATCGGAGAGGTTCATCTGTATTGTTTGAAATTGTAAACGTGGTTTCGAATAACGGTTTGGCATTATGTTTTGCTAATGAAGAACTACTTGGATTACTTCGGAGTGGAAGCGAAGTAGACGATGCGTTGGGACTAGCTGCATTTACTGAAGGCCCTCCAACTACCGTTAAATATTCTGGTGAAACTCTCATTCCGTGTGGCTCTTCAACAACCTCTTCAATGATCTGTTGATTCAATACATTCATGGAAGTGGGTGACTGAATTTTCTTCTCATCCGTACAAGGCTCTGTGAGATCCACTTCTTCGCTAGACCAGATGCCAATTTCATCATCCTCATCCTCTTCATTAATTGTTTCTAGTTGCTCTTCTAATACTTGCGCTGTTTGTGATTTTTTTGAGTCTGATATGTCGCTCACGGGTGATTGTAATGAACTATGTGATTCTTTTACAGGGCTTGCCAGTCCAAACTTTCTACCTAATATGCTTGGACTATGACGTTGATGATATTTTCTTAATTGTCCTAATGTCTTTTTTGCCCATATATTCCCTACTTTCCCTATATGATCTGCTGGATTATCCTGGTTTTGTGATTCTTTATGTTTCTCTCTAGCAGGGCTAAAAGGTCTCTTTGGCCATCGCCACGATGTCATCGATTTAACAGATGCAGGGGTAGTTGATGCTAATAAGGTTGATGGTGTTGCTGGTGCGGATGGGAATGGTGATGTGTCCGATTGATCAGAAGGCGATCGTATTAATTCTTGTCGAGCGCTTGTAGTAGATGATTCTGCATCTTCATCATCTTCGGTCTCTGACAGCATTGGTAATGGGGTTTTAACCGTTAGCATATGAGTTGCAGTTCGCCTAGATTGTATTGAGGGAATTGAAGGAAATAAACGGCGTGTGATTTTTGTGCTGGTAGATTTTCTTATGGACTCTGATCTAAGTTCTTCTGTATGTGTTTCCTTTGAAAATATTGTCCGTGTTTTGCGATTACTCGTACTTTTTATCAACTCTGGTTGTTTTTGTTCTAGCTGTTGTTCGGTTTCTTCTGACTCTTCTTCTATTTCCCCTAATTTTAATGTAAAAGATCCAGATGACCGTTTTTCGCTACTTCCTTTTGAATTTTTATCATCCTGTATCTCTTCTGCTACGATACCTAATCCCATGCTCTCGTGGACAAATGGCTTACTTACACCGCCAAGGTTCCTTTTACTAGATGATAGCACTGGTTGACTCGTTTCAAATGGTTGAGAACTTGCAAGTGAAGGTGATGATGGCATCTCATTGTCGCTTTGCTGCAATTCTCCAAGACGTGTACTTTTTGTTGAGGAATTTCCTGAAGATAAAATATCATGTTTGTTATTTTGAGATTCTAGTTCAGTTGTTTTTTTTTTGGGTTCTTTTAGATCCTCTGGCTCAGAGGTTTCTTTTTCTTCATCTTCATCTTTCATTTCATCTTCCACATCCTCACTTATTGCGTTTAACCCTAATTTCGAAGGTATAGGCGGTGAGGCACGACCACCAACGCTATTAGAACCTGCTGCAGACGATGAATATTGAGATGATGTAGGATTCGCTCGCAATGATGGTGACTCTTGCTATAACAATGATATATGTGCATATTATGTACAAATAGTAATACTTACTATGTGCGTTATTTCAAAAATTCAATCATAACATTCTGATATATAAAATACCTGCTGTTCCGATCCTTCTGGTCCCTCCTCTAAATCAGTTAGTGAATTGAAGCGCGGACTTGCCAATTGCATACGACGTGGAGAGGTAGGCCAGCCTTCCATAGCCATACGTCCTGACATGCTGCGTTCTGGTCGCGAAGTGTCTATTGAAGGTACTGGCAATCGATCGATTCGATTTGAAGGCGGGATAAACCTTGACTGGCAAAAACATATGAAAATGAGTCTTAAATCATTGAGCTGAAAATTTCTACGAAAATGCACTTGATCAAATGATTTCATAATCTACATTTGAAATTTTTATAATAAAAGGAATATCATTTAGAGTTTACCCTTTTGTGAGGAGATAAGACGCCACTTAAATCTCCCATTGGTCCATTTCTATGATTAAAATAAGTTTTCGGACTTGGATATCTTTCTTCCCTTATACCAATTCTTCCATCTTTGAAATTCCTTAATGGTGTGACATTAGAAATAGGCACCGGAGATGGATATAAAGATACCGATACATCTGAATAGTCATCTTTAATAGCACTATACGCAT